GTGTGTGTATAAAACCCTTACAATACGACCCTTACTTAATATAAGTCGAATAGGAATTTACTTAAAAACCCCTAAACTAGGCAGTCCCGTCCAGTGTCACGCCCACTCATACGGACTGTCAAGGGCACCACGGCCCGTGGTGGTGCCCGTGGTCCCTTGACTAGTAGATCCCCTTAAGTGCCAAGTCCCTAAAACACTAAGTCACCTTCATGACCACTTTGACGGACCATGGTCAAGACTATGGATCATGAAGTGGCTCGTGGAGTTGGGGCAGTTTCTTAGCCTCAAGGCCTTGCCTCCCATGAAGCCAAGTCATCTTCACGACCAATTTCATGGACCGTGGTCAAGATCACTGGCTGTGAAGTGGCTCGTGGACTTGAGGCAGTTCTTGGCCAAGGTTGGGCAGCCTTGGCTTTTGGCTTAGGCCTTGCCCCCTTGGCTTGGCACTTGCCTTGGCAACCCTTAGACAAACCCTAGATAGTCTTCTAAACTATGGGGTCTAACACGTGCCTTGATGTTCAACAACTAAACCCCTCATTCTAAGCACACAAAGTCTCATCTTTGACTCTATTTCACATACATCAAACCTTAGAATCCTAGCTTGTGGCTCTAGTTTAGTCTACTAGTTTCCGGGGTGTTACAATATCTCCCCCTTGGGAACATTCGTCCCCAAATGACCTTTATAAACACTTTTAAAAAGAAGCGACTATAGACTAGCATCCCATCATGCATGCACTACCTCTACAAGCACACAACCAACCAAGGAAAACTTCAATTCGAAGCTAAACATACCTAATGAAACTCAAAATGCATGAAAGAGACATATATACCCATTTTCAAGGAGGAACTAACATCTCCTAGCTACAACATGCTCAACACACACTTCATGGAGCCTATCAACAACTTGACTCAAAGATGCCACTACTTGAAGCAACACAATGCAATTAGATCAATTCTAACAAGGCCTACACATCTTCAAGAACATACATACAAGGAAATCATGGCAACACATAATCATATAAAGACCTTATTGGATAGGCACACTATCTCCCCCTTGGGAGTAAGCCTACACATGCTTTCTAAACATCATTCATGGCAAGGAAAACATCAAGTCCAACATAACAAGTCATAAAAGACAAGAAATCTGGAAATTACTAAAACATAAAAGAAAGCTCATACCGGAAGGGACATGAGGAGATCACTCTTGATTTTCTCTAGATTGGAGAGCATAAAACCTATTCCTCTTTTGAGGCTCAACATCCCCACCACTAGAGGCAACTTGCTTATTGATGCTTATCGTGACCAACGATACTAACCTATAGTACGAGTGTCTACGATCATCGATAATATAGTAACCCAACCAAGGGTTGGGGTCATGTCCTAAGGGAGTGGTTTTGAGAATTAATAGAAAAATAAAAATTTAGTTTTGATTAGTCATAGCTAAAGACATTAATGAGTAAAAACATAGTAAATTAAAGAGGGTGACACAAAAGTGTCAAATATCAAATGGGGGTTTGTCACAAGTGTAATAAAAACAACAAAATTTAAAGGGGAGAGAAAGTATGGGGAGAAGTTCTTGGGGTGTGACCGCAATATAAATTGATATAAATCGTTGAGTACATGCTTCCGATAGAAAATTTGCAAGTTAATAGAGACTAGGCTAAGCTTTAGATGGAAATAAGTTCCCTCTAGGGCAACTTACCCCGTTTCAAATGGGTTCCTCTCGGACACACATTTGTTGCATGAAGGCCAGACTACGCCTTACACCACTCACTCTCTCGAGCGGAGTGTTAGGATATGGGACTAGGGCTCACCCTCTCGGGGTGAACCTCATGTCGACCTACTCCTTAGGCCATCAGTCTAGCGGTCTTGGTTTCACGACCTCTCTCTCGAGCAAGCCGAAAACACATGGGTGGTTTTGTATTTGCAACTACAAACCCATTAAATTAAACCACAACCACTAGGTGAAATCACTATTAAAATACATCTAACCTATTAGCAAACAAGACCCAACAATAATATCAACACATATTTGCTAAATCACACCCCAATAATGGTGGTCTTAGCTAGACAAGAACAAGATATAGGAATTTATACCTAAATGAGTTTGCATTAAAATGGGTATAAAGATTTAAGTCTTGTTACAGGCCAAGAATGAAGAATCCAAGAGACCTAACTCCAAATCTAGAAGATGAAACCCTTTTCTTCTTCAAGTCTCCAAAACCCTCTCAAGCTTATGGCAAAAATATCCAAAAGTACTATTCTAATGTGAAAATTATAATAATGGTTCGAATCCCCTAAAATTAATAAAGAGTTTAGTATTTATAGACTTCAGAAAATAATGTTGGCGGATCGCTCGACGAGGTTAGTCGGAATCGCCGAGTAACTCGGTGATTCGCCGTTTGGTGTAGTTCATCGCCTTCTAGCACTAGCCTTCAACATCATCGTGTTCTGTGTCATTGGGCGACATAGTACTGCCTCATGGAACTATTCAGCGATATGCTGACTGCTTCTTTCATCGCCTTTATGATCCTTCTCCTTCAAGGCTTCACGAACTGGAACAAAGGGCGGAGTGTGTCACTTCGGCGAATCGCCAAGCGTGCTTGGCGATACTCAGGCTTCATCTTCTTCGTTCTTTTCAGCCTTTTTGTTCCTTTTTATGCCTAAGGGTCCATGCTTCCACTAAAACTTCAAATACCTGAAACTTAAGTGTTTTCATCATATATTTAGAATAAATAAGCATTTGAGGACACTATTTCTATTAGCATAAAGCCCTAAATGAGTACAATTTGTGGACTCATCACTTACCCTCTCTTATAGTGGCCTTTCCCTTTGGGCAATCTTTCTTCATGTGGCCACTCTCATCACATCCATAACAACCATCTCTATCGGCCAAACACTTACCCTCATGTCTCTTACCACACCTAGAACAAGTGGGCCATAGGGACTCACTACTTTTCCCTTGTGGCCTAAGGCTAGACACCCTCTCATCCTTATACTTAGGAGCATTAGAAAAGCCTTTCTGGGAAAACTTTTGTCGATTCCTAGAACAACCATGTCCATCGGACCCATCATGGAACAACTTATCATTATCCAACCTAGACCTCTTTTTCTCCCTAGATATTTCCTCTTGAAGTTTATCCCTCTCCATTTGTTGAGCATATACCATAAGGCGTGAGATGTCCATATCATCATGGAGCATTGCCGTACGACATTCTTTTGACACTAGCTTGGACACTGATGTGCCATGAAATCGTGGCACATTTGATGCTTAATAACTATGAACTAATACTAGAATTAAGTGATATTTTGGGATTATTTTATGGGTTTGTTAATTGTGCAGGCAGATTTTGGGTTGTACAGAAAATGAAGCAAAACTGATGTCGACCAAGTGAAGATCACAGAGGGGTATATGGGCCGTTGTTCTTACCATGGACCGTGGTACCTATCGTGAAGTTGAACTAGTATAAAAGCAGGAAAGAGTTGAAAGAAGGTTGAAGCCCAAGTGAAGACCACGAGTGACTTCACGGGCCGTGGTCCTCACTACGGACCGTGGTAGCTCTCGTGGTACATTTTCCAGTGACCAAGTTTGAAGACCCACTCTGTGGAAGCTCAAAGGCAAGACCATGGAGGACTTCATGGGTCGTGGTCATCACTACGGACCGTGGTAACTCTCGTGGTACATTTACTAGTGACCAAGTTTGAAGACCCACTCTGGGGAAGCTCCAAGGCAAGACCACAGAGGTCTTCACGGGCCGTGAAGACCTTGACGGGTCGTGGTAGTGGCCGTGACAAGGCCCGACAATTCAATCCTAACTTGATTAGGACTCATTTGAAACATTCTATTTTGGAACTACTTTAGGTCGTTTTTGAAGGCATTATCGGGTATCTGACATTATTGAGAAGAAAGGACAGCGGATTACTTTTAGTTTTGGGATTTTGGGATTCAGATTATTGTGATCAGTTGGAAGTTGTTCATTTCGATCTTGAGATTATCAAGTTGTTGTTGATTTACCAGTTATTTTTGTAAGTACCTCATAACATGTTTTCATTATCCAGTATTGATTCTTTGCGTAAAAACATGAGTTGCTAAAAGTCACTACTGGGTGTGTGGGATCTATGATGACATTCTAGTGCGATTCCGTAAAATGAGTAAAAGGCAATCTTTGTTTACAACCTCTAGTTTACAGCTTTCATTATCATTTCCGTGTATTGAGTGCACGCTTTAGACATGCCTGTATCTGGTGTTTGTTCGAGAGAAAAGCATTAGTTGGGAAAAAGCTAAACTAAGTTTACAAATTGGAGTTAAAGTAGGATTTCGAGAGAAGAGATCTTTAACACCATATCAAATTAAGCGAAGTCCAATATCGATAACACTTTACATTCGAGAGAATTAGAGTGAATATTATCTGATTAGGCTGAGAAGCGTTAGATTTATTTAATTCGCAAAGGTTCTGTAAACATTGACTTACCTAATACTAAATTTACGCGAGAGCATTATAATTGATATCATAATGAACACAAAACCTGGTTTCCTTAAATTAATTGAATCAACTTACAACAAGATCTTTTGTGAACTGTGTAACTAAGTTTTGATAGAATACTTTTCAATCAGACCCAAATTTACTTTTCTTGTTAATTGTTTAGGAAATAGTATCGACAATTGAGTAAATGCGTCAGTGAAACTTTATCTGTAAAAAAATTCTCTGTGGGATCGACCTCAACTCTGGTTGAGTTCTGTAAATTTACAACGACCATTTACACTCTTTATTTGGGGTGTAAGTTTAGACGTATCAAATTTTTGGCGCCGCTGCCGGGGAATTCCAATCCAGAACTATTTTACGAGCTTTTATTCAATTTGTAGTTATATTTTCTAATTTTATACGTTTTGTTCTATTTTTGTCTCTTTCAGGTGAGTGCTACTGTGTATGCCAAGTACCAGGAGTAAAGGAGTTCCATTGATCCCTTACGACTCATAACTCGAAAAGACTCTTCGAAAAATGGTGAATGCACAAGAACTGGATGCACAAAGACAAAGGTTGGGACTAGAAGCTGAAGCCGCGGCAAGAGGTATTCAGCAGCATGGCGGCAACAACAAACCTAGGGTGGTAGATGAGAATAGAGGAGTGGATGGATTGATCCCTCCCCAGCGCCAACCAATAGCTCGAAGGGGTAGAGCTCAACATCCAGCGCACTTGATGTATGATGAAGATGATGCAGATTTGGATGGAGCTGGAGCCACTGGAGCGATAATGTTACCTGCACTACCTCCAAGTGTTAAGTACACAATCACTAGCACTATGATTCAATTGTTGAACCTTAAGGGTATGTTTAGGGGTGCAGCTGGTGATGATGTAAATCAGCATTTGATGAATTTTGTGGCTATCTGTAAGTCACAAGAGATTCCTGGGGTAAATCAAACAGTAATAAGATTGAGGCTGTTTCCATTATCTCTTACTGGAGAGGCGACGAACTGGTTGAATGAGATGCCAGATGACTCCATCAGAACTTGGAATGAGTTGAAGGAAGCTTTCCTGGAACGATTTTTCCCAGAATCAAAAGAGCTGCAGATGAAGGACGAGATTAGTACACACAAGCAACTACCAGGGGAAGCCATGCATGATACTTGGTGGAGGTTCAGCCAAAAGTTAAAGAAATTCCCCAACCATGATCTTACCGAAATACATCTTAAACAGGCCTTTTATAGGTCTCTGAATTATGTTACTAAACCTGTTGTTGATGCAGTTTGTGGAGGCTCATTTATGAGGAAGCCATTTGCAGAAAGCATGCAGCTATTTGATGAGGTCTCAAAGAACAACAAAGCATGGTACACTAGAGATGCAGAGGTAGGAGAGCTCGGGTATACATTTGAGCTTTCAGTTGAACAAAGGAAGAGAGAAGAAGAAAGGGACCAAGACATGGCACATATGAGGACTCAAATAACTTGCTCACAAAACACATTGTTGCCAAGTCTGAAAAGGTGAGTGTTGTGGGACATCAGCACAGGTATGAAGATCAGGATCTTGACATTGATGAGGAAGCTAACTATTTGGGGAATCAAGGAGGTTTTCAGAATTATAACTCTGGAAATCAAGGTTACAACTCTGGAAATGCAGGTCGGAGCTATGCTAGGGATGGTTAGTATGAAAGGCCAACAAATAGAGATCAAGGAAACTGGCAAAACAGAGAGGGGTATAGGAATGACCACAACGGTGTATATGTACCTCCAGGTAATAGAGATCGGGTGAGTGGTAGTTCTAACGGTTCCAAGCTGGAGGACATGATGGCTAAGGTACTTCAGAAGGTTGAGTCAACCGATACAGGGGTGAAAGAAATGAGAGGTGACTTCTCGAGCATGAGTCAGTTGGTGGACTCTCACACCACCTCCATTAAACAAATAGAGCAGCAGTTAGGGCAACTCTCAGCCTCAATGAATCAGAGAAAGAACGGATCACTACCAAGTGATACCATTCAAAAACCCAAGAAGGAAGGACACTACATGGCCATCGCCACCAGGAGTGGTGAAGTTCTTTCTGACCCTATTTCTGTAGGTACTAAGTATGAACAGGTCTTGGAGCAAGCTAGAAGAGAGGAGGATGAGAATATACAGGTAGATGATCGGGGAGAGGCTCAACAATCTCAACCTAAAGCACAACATTTGAGTGGTAAAGAGAAAGAGGTTCAGGAACACCTACCCTTACAGCAGATTCCCAGGCCACCTCCTCCTTTCTCTCAAAGGCTCAAAAAGAAAGCTGAAGATGGAAACTTTACGAAATTCATCACCATGCTGAAACAACTTTCAGTAAACATTCCATTGGTTGAAGCCCTAGAGAAGATGCCAGGATATGCCAAGTTCGTTAAAGACTTGGTCACTAAGAAAAGAGCTGTAAGTCATGATTTCTCTAACGATGTTCATCATTGCAGTGCCATTGCTACCAGATCTCTGGTGCAGATGAAGGAAGATCCAGGTGCATTCACAATACCATGCACCATTGGGTCAATCAAGTTTGCAAAAGCTTTATGTGATCTGGGAGCTAGCATAAATCTGATGCCTTTAGCCATTTATAAAAAGTTAGGTTTGGGAGTACCAAAACCGACATCAATGAGGTTGATGGTGGCTGATAGGTCAGTAAAGAGGCCAGTGGGAATCCTGTGTGATGTACTGCTAAAGGTGGACACTATAATCTTTTCAGCTAATTTTGTGATTCTGGATTGCGAAGTAAATTTTGAGGTTCCCATAATCTTGGGAAGACCCTTTTTGGCCACAGGAAGGGCTTTAGTGGATGTTGAGAGAGGAGAGTTGAAGTTCAGACTCAACACAGATGAGGTAAGGTTCAACATTTGCAGGTCAATGAAACAGCCATGAGATATGAATGTGATATCTGCAATAGAGATGGTCATTGATGAAGACATGAGGGTACCTATAAAAGAGAGAATGGTTGTTGAAACATTAACTGCAGTACTGATGAACTTTGATGTGGATTTCCGGTCTGACTATGTAAAGACCGTGAATGCCTTGCAGGGTATGGGAGCACATTCGTATGCGCTAAAGAAATTGGACTTGGACTTGAAAAACAGGCCAAGTCCTCCAGCGAAACCATCCATTGATGAGCCACTAGTGTTAGAGCTAAAACAGTTACCCAATCACCTCACGTATGTATTCTTGGGTACTAATAACACTTTACCTGTGATATTGGCTGCAGATTTGAATGAAGAGCAGGTACAAGAGGTGATCAAGGTGCTAAAAAGATACAAAAGAGCCATTGGATGGACCATTGTTGATATAATTGAGATACCTCCAGGTATTTGCACGCATAAGATTCAGCTTGAGGAAGACTGCAGCCCGAGTATTGAACACCAACGGAGGTTGAACCCACCTATGCATAGGTGGTTAAGAAAGAAATAATCAAATGGTTAGATGCTGGGGTGGTCTACCCTATTTCTGATAGTCACTGGGTCAGTCCAGTACAATTTGTGCCTAAAAAGGAAGGCATGACTGTGGTAGCGAATGCCAAGAATGAATTAGTCCTGCATAGACCTGTCACTGGATGGCGAGTGTGCATGGATTACAGGAAGCTGAACAAGTAGACTTTGAGGGATCATTTCCCCATGCCTTTCATGGACCATATGCTTGATAAATTGGCAGGTAAATGATGGTACTGTTTCTTAGATGGATACTCTGGCTATAACCAAATATCAATTGTACCTGAAGATCAGGAAAAGACCACCTTCACATGTCCTTATGGCACCTTTGCGTTTAAACGCATGCCATTTGGACTATATAATGCACCAGCCACATTTCAAAGGTGTATGATGTCCATCTTTTCAGACATGGTTGAGGATACTCTAGAGGTATTTATGGATGACTTCTCTGTAGTAGGCGATACTTTTGATGACTGTTTGTTGAATCTTAGCAGGACTTTACAGAGATGTGAGGAAGCCAACTTAGTGCTAAATTGGGAGAAGTGCCACTTCATGGTAAAATAGGGCATAGTCTTTGGACACAAGGTGTCACAGAAAGGAATTGAGGTCGACAAGGCTAAGATTGAGGTGATTGAAAAATTACCTCCTCCAATCTGTGTGAAGGCTGTTCGAAGCTTCCTAGGACACGCCGGATTCTATAGGTGTTTCATCAGAGACTTCTCAAAAATTGCACACCCAATGTGCAAGCTTTTAGAGAAGGAGGTGAAATTTGTGTTTGATAAGACATGCCTTAAAGCTTTTGAGTGCCTAAAAGAGAAACTGATTTAGACTAGGCAGAGCCATTTGAGGTGATGTGTTATGCTAGTGGGACTGCGTTAGGAGTTGTGTTGGGACAAAAGCGCAATAGGATGTTCCATCCGATTTACTATGCTAGTAAGTCGCTAAATGGGGCACAGCGAAACTACACAGTCACTGAACAGGAACTATTGGCTGTAGTGTATGATTTTGAAAGGTTCAGAGCTTATCTTCTGGGCACTAAAGTGATAGTTCACACAGACCATGCTGCTTTGAGATATCTCATGGCAAAGAAAGATGTCAAGCCTAGGTTGATCAGATGGGTATTGCTTCTTCAAGAGTTTGACTTCGAAGTGAAAGGCAGGAGAGGTTGTGAGAACCAGGTAGCTGATCACCTGTCTAGGTTGGAAGCTACAGGTTGGAAGTTGCAAAGAAGGAAGAACTTGAGCTCGAGATAGATGACACATTCCCGGATGAGCAGGTATTAGCTACTACTCTTGACCTTATTCTTTGGTTTGTTGACTATGCTAATTTTTTGGTCAGTGACTTAATGCCCGAGGGACTAACATATCAGCAAAGGAAAAGGTTCCTGCATGATGTAGACAAGTACTTTTGGGATGAACCGTATCTGTACAGGGTGTGTGATGACAATATAATTAGGCGATGTGTTCCGGAAGCCAAAATGTTGCATATCTTGGAGGCCTGTCACTCATCTCCAGTTGGTGGTCATCATGGTGGTGCTCGAACAGCTCACAAGATACTTCAGTGTGGGTATTACTGGCCTACAATTCATCAAAATGCAGTGGATATAGTAAGGAGCTGTGATGTGTGCCAGCGGCAAAGAGCCATCTCTCGGCGCCATGAGTTACCCATGACACCTATTCTAGAGGTGGAATTGTTTAATGTGTGGGGTATTGACTTCATGGGTCCCTTTGTGAGTTTATATGGGAAGAAATATATACTGGTGGTTGTGGACTATGTGTCCAAATAGGTTGAAGCTATTGCATTACCTAAGAATGATGGAAAGAGTGTCGCTGGGTTCTTGAAAAAGAACATCTTCTCAAGGTTTGGAACACCTAGAGCCATTATCAGTGATGGTGGGTCTCATTTCTGCAACAAAGTCTTTAGTGCACTTCTGACAAAGTATGGAGTAAAACAACATAAGGTGGCAACACCTTATCACCCACAAACGAGTGGTCAAGTGGAAGTTTCCAACAGGGAAATTAAAACAATCTTGGCAAAGATAGTGAATGCCAACATGACAGATTGGGCACGGAAGCTAGATGATGCCCTATGGGCATATAGGACAGCTTTCAAGACACCTATTGGTATGTCTCCATATCAATTGGTGTTTGGAAAGGCGTGTCATCTACCAGTTGAGCTTGAGCATAGAGCACTCTAGGCGTTGAAGAAGCTGAATCAAAATTGGAGCGAAACCGCAAACTTAAGGCTAAATCAGATCAATGAGATGGATGAGTTCCGTCTAAGGGCCTATGAGAGGGCTGCACTGTATAAGGAGAGGATGAAGCTCTATCAGGACAAGCATATTAAGTAAAGGAGCTTTACTCCTGGTGACTTGGTGTTACTTTTCAACTCTAGACTGCGTCTGTTTCCAGGAAAACTGATGTCTAAATGGTCTGGACCGTTTAATGTCACAGGTTTTTCAATCTGATGCTATTGAATTGGAAAATGAGAAAGGCGAGAGGTTCAAAGCTAATGGTCAGCGAATCAAGGCATACTTGGGTGCTCCTAAGGATGTGAAAATTGTGGAGGAATGTAAACTTGATGAAGTCTGAGTAATCAAGTAACCTGCGTTGCACCGCGATGTTTAATTGTACGCTGCTTGGGAGGCAACCCAAAATGTAATTATATTAGGTATATTCTCATTTTCCTTATTTTTCTTTATTTTTATAGTCACTGTGTGCTGAGTTGTGCAGGAGAGAAAAAGGGGAAAAATGCAAAAAGTGGTGCAGACTGAACGTCACGGTCAGGACCACGAACCGTAGAGCTTTTCACGGGAACTATCACGATTCGTCAAATTAAGGACTAAATTTGGAAGCTACTGAAAATTTCATAAATATGGTTCACGGAGGGGTTCACGGTCCGTCATAGATTGTACGAGCTGTCTAATCTCTCGTGAGCCTCATGTAGGAATCTCAGTTCCAAGTCAACATCACAGATAGTATCACGGACCGTGATTTCTTTTACGGGCAACTTTACGGTCCGTCGTCTGCATCAGGTAAGTTTCTTTGCCTGGGTAATGTCACGAATAGATCCATGGACCGTGATATCTTCCACGAGAAGTCTCACGGCCCGTAATCTACTACCCAGTAACACCGATGACCCGACCCGACCTGCGCATAACCCAACTCAGAAATTAAAACGTATTTATTGATTCCAAAGGGCAAAACTTCAGTTTCTCTCTTTTTCTCCTCCACAACAGTTATCTAAGGAAGAATTGATCATCATTCATCAATAAATACTATATCTACCCAAGAATCCAAACCCTAAGTGTTCAGTTGTGCAAGTTTGTCCAGCTATTTCCCATTTTTGGTTTCTTCAATCCAAGTAAGTTGAGTTTCAATGGTTTGCACCGTCACATCTTGTTTATAATGACTTCGATTTTGTTGGCTTCAGTATGCATTTGTGATGATTAATTGCTAAACTATTACTTACTTGGAGTGGGTAAGTCGAAATTGGAAATTTGTAATTATTCATGTGTGTTGGTCGATCACAAGAGGGTCAAATTTGTAGGTCAGGTAGTGAAATTTAGGTTACTTAATTTAGTTGGATAAGTAGTAGGGTAGGGTTTAAAGTATGAGAAGAGCCTGTATTTGTACAACAATAGGGATTAAGTGCAAAAAATTGATGTTGGGAGGACGATGACTGACCTCTTGCTTAGTGTAAGACTACAACAGGTTGTACGGACCGTGGAAGACATTACAAGTCGTGCAACTTGTCGTAAACCACACTTGAAAATCAACCAAGCCCTCAGTGGTCCTCAATTAAAGTTCACGGGCAGTATCACGGACCGTGGTTCACTCCACGGGCCGTGAAATCTTCCGTTAACATCCCTTGGTTAAATGGCCAGAAATTCCTTGTGCACTTTGATCCTGTTTAAACTCCACGAGGGACATCACGGTCCGTGGTCTATATGAAATGACCCAAAAAGTTCTTAAAAATGTGTTTCGGAAGTTACCGGAAACTTGTTTCGATATATATAAAAAAAATCCATTTCGTTTTTTGAAAATCCGACTTCATATTCTTGTTTAGGGGGTCAAATTGAGTGGGAAATGGGTCTAACCCAAATTTTAGAGCAACCGTATCAAAATCCGAAATTTCCAAGTGAAGCCTTTTTCGAGGGTCTACTTTGGAGGGTCATATCTCCTAGCACACAAATTATTGGGTGGCCAATAACATATCCATGGAAAGCCCTTTGAGTTAGATACCTAACGCACTTCGTTTCACCTCATTCGGAGTTCGGACTAAGAAGTTATGCCCATTTTCGTAAAATCTGTCCGGCAGGAAAGACAATTTCCGGGTGTGAACGGCATCCCCCATCCTAAGTTGGGGTTATAGATTGGTTGGATCATGCATACACATATGATATCTACTATTAGTATAGATTTACTTAAACATGTTTTGACT